TTACTCCTTCAACCACCCGTTTTCCATCAATAATTTAATGTCCTCTTCAGAGCAACAGCATAAACTGGAATTGAAAGCGTATGAACAAGCGTTGCAATATTCCTCCTATGGCTCAGGGATGTCTTCCAGTTTGCCCATGTCCGGGAGAGCCAGCATGGACCCTTCGGCTTTAGAGGCCTCTTACTACCAAGGTGTGTATTCCAGGCCTGTTCTTAATACATCTTAGTCAACTGGCGACGAAAAAAACAACAACTTTATTTTATTTTTTGCATGCACTTGGTGCAAAAGAACTGTTACTTTAAAATATAACAAAATGTGTATGTGTATAATAAAATATTGTAAAGTGTTCCCAATGATTCTATATCCCAGTTATAAATCATTGCTAGTGTATTTAAATCATTTTGAGCTTGTAAAATACTTGTTGTGATCCCCAAACCTGTAGTTCCCCTTTGTGTTACAACGTGCACGAATGAAGGTCAACTTTGGTCTTGTTGCTGGTATAAAAGCGATGCCCCTGTCTGTTGCAGATGTATTTGTGTAATGTTGTCATTTTACTCATTATTTTTGGGGTTTACGTACCTCGTTTTGACAAAAACACTTCCCAATCTTGTATTGAAAAAAATTAATCCAAGGTGGAAATGCATTGTGAATAAAATATGTATTTCTTAATCAAGCAACACGTTTGTGACATTTTTATACAAAGAGGTGAAATTATGAAGGCGCATTTATGCATGCATTTTTCGTGAAATTACATTCGCAATTGATTTAAAAAAAAAAACTAGATATTATTTAATAAGAATAGGCTATCTGATTTTCTTGATTTCGATTACATTTTTTTTTTAATCTATTCTATTTATTCTTTTGCATTTGCATTATTTTGTGTCCAAGCTATTAAAAACGATGCATGTTTAATAATGACTTGAAATAAAATAGAAATAGATGAAGCCTTCAAACTAGGCTCTCTGCTTTCAAAGCCAGCTTTTGGCTGAGCCCGTCTGGTTTTGACTCGCTGTTGGTAAAAGACCAAGAGAAAATCCAAGTCTAACACACGCGCAGCCTCAAAGACTCGCTTCATAAAAGATCCGATCTCGTTTTAAATGGGATTTTAAACAATATCATAGAGAGGCCAAATCATCTTTTTGTGCATCGTAACCTACATGATGGGCACGTGAACCTGAACAGATTTGACTTTGATCATGGTATTTTGTATACACGCATTTTGGCTGAGTAACCGTGAAATTCATTTAATTATCTTGTAATTCCCCCCCGATGCGTAAATAAAATGGATAATTGACTTCAGGTCTGAGAAATCTCGATATGTGTAGCCTATAAAATAAGGTTATATAGCTGATCTTTGTGCTTTTTTATTTTTAATTCGATTTAAAAAATAAAGAAAACATTTCCCCCCCAAAAGTAGAGTCTGGTGCAGTCGATTTATCTGAATTTGAATTAGAGCTCGCGACAGAAATATTTGGCCTGGTGAAGATGGTGAAGTTAATAATAATTGCAATATTCGCTACTGAAATTCGTAAAAAAAAATATAACAAAATATTAGAAAATAAAATTGGATTTTTTTTTTTTTTGGAATGATCCAATATTGTAAAATTTAAAATCACACGTTTAAATACTTGTTTAAATCATCTAAGTTACATTCTCTCGTGCGCACGACATATGCATTATAAAACAGATCGGTTTTATAATGCATATATTATAAAATAATACGGTTTTATAAAACAGATATTTTATTTATATAACTAAAAATGTCTGAATATCTAACAGAAATACCTGCTCGCACATAAAAAAAAAATAGATCATGTCGGGTTTATGGGATTGATTAAATAAAATGCAAATTCAAATAAATTACAAATAAAGTAGCTACTAATTAAAAGTATTATACCATTAATTATAATAATTTTATTCAGCTTATTATGCTCGATAATGTACATCATTTAAAATAACTAGCCTACATGATCGAGTTCATAAATCACAGCTGTTTTTAGGTGTGATTTGATTATGTATATTTGGTTCTCAGATAATCAAATGCTTTATCAGAAACATTGCTTTATTGAAATAATTTATAAATCTTTGTGACTCGAAATGATCGACTTTCGTCAACGAGAAGCTGATGGTAATGAAAGCAAAGCATTTTTAATGTGCGCTCCTGAAAATCCAAAAACAAACCAAGTTTACAAGGGCAGTGCAGAAATATTTAACCTATTTTAGGGAAAACATCTTAACGAGTGCGTTGACAGGGATAACAAACTGCTCATTTATTTCCCATATAAACGTATAATTTAAATATGCCATGTATAATTTAGATATGCAATAATCTGCATGGGAATTTTATTGTTTGTAATTGACGCAGTGATTGTGCAATATTTGACGGTTTTATTTTTAACGCATTTCGACATTTATATGTTGCATTGAACAGTTAGTGCACATCTTTAAACAAGCCGATCAGCAGGCAGCGTTCAAACTTATGTGGCATTTCTCGTTCCCCCATCAAAAGCTCTGGCGCTTTCTTCAGCCTTATGGAGCAAAATTTCGACAACAATACGCACGGCCCTTTAGTTCAAAGCGCCCATCAGCGGGTCTACCCGTAGACCTTTCTTCTCCCTCTTTTCATTCTGGGTTTGGAAAAGCACTACAGGGCCAATGCGCTCCTAATACCTTCTGATGGGGATTGAATTCATTATCTCCAATAACACAATTGTGCTTGGCCAACGAAAAGAGCAAAGCAATACCCCTTCAGAATCACACACACACGAAAGAAAGGGCCTTTCAAAGGGCGAGAGAGAAGAGGGAGAGATCTCTATCCGACATCAGCTTTAGAAGCAGCTGCTTTTCCATTAAAAATGATACGGGAGAAGTTTATTAGAGCTTTGTGGCCCTCTAATATGCATCGACCATGTCAGGTTGGTGGTCTCGCACTCCCCTCGATGGTGTTCCATGTTTTGTGTCTTCATTATTCTACAGCAGGGGCTTTTGGATAGAAACAGCCAGTTGGTTTCGTTGGAGTTTCATTGGGCTAATGCATACTTGTCATTATTATTATTATCTTTTCAATTTTGTATAATTTATTTATTAAACGATTATAAGAATAATGCATTTGAAATAATGCAATATTTCAAATAACGCAATATTTCAAATGAATAATGCAAAACGTCTTAATTTGCACTCTTAAAAAGAATAAAGGTTCGTTATTGGCATCTAAGGTTCCATGAAGAAACTGTAACATCCATGCAACCTTTCCAAGGGTTTTTTTTTTTTTTTTAATATAGTAAAACAGTAATATTGTGATATATTATTACAAATTAATAACTGTTCTTTGTTTTAATATATTTTAAAATGTAATTTATTTATGTGATGGCAAAGCTGATTTTTTTAGCAGCCATTACTAAAAAAAAATCACATGATCTTTCAGAAAACATTCTAATATGCTGATACACTAATAATAAAAACAAAAAGGTTATTTTAAGAACTGTTCACTGAAAGATTCTTTGACAAACCAAAAAATTATTCTTCTATGACATTGCTGCAAACAACCCTTTATGGAATCTTCAATTAAATTTAATTTCACTTCAGCAAATAAGCTTAATTAGGCTATTACGAAATTTCACTCTGGTCTAAATGAATATTAATATCATATATTTTTAATTTAGACTAAAAGGTTTTATTCTATCATTTATCAAGCCAAATATTAAGGTTATCCAAATCAATCATGCACAATTTTAACATTACAACCAACACAAATTTATCAGCTTGATCAGAACCTGGGAAAAGTAAAAACGTCCCATAGAAAATGTGCACTATATTTGTCTGAATAAACAGCTACTATGAGAAGGACAGAAGCAGACAGAGAAAAAGAGAGTGCTTGAAATATTTGGTGTCGTTATAGCAACCGGTTCAGTGGTGCTTTTCTCTGAGGGTCATTCAATATGTGCAGCCAAAACACAGTTTTAATTAAAGCGTATAAAAGTTTTTTTTGGAAGTCGATGATCACGCACACTGAATTTGGGGGTGGTAATGGGGCATTTCACTCCACATGCCCCAATAAACACAGCCTCCAGCCTCCACACCCACTCCGAACATCCACATCTCAAACAGATCACTTACAACACGCACATCTCAAACAAATCATTTAAGAACGCAAGTCTCAAAACAAAAGTTTTCAGCTCGAGAAGAAAAGTTGCACCATCAAAGGGCAAGTGTTTTCCATAGGGATGTGGCGGGACACCCAGGTTGTGCCATCTCCACGGTAACCTATAGGAGGAAAATCGACAAGCTTGTCCTGGTGTCGGGCATTTATTTGAGGGGAGGGATACTCAGCGGCACGTCTGGCCTAAACAGCCCTTTCTTTATTCACCGGTGCATCTAACATATTTCTGAGTACATAATCGATCAGGCTAAAGAGGAGCTCTGCTGAAGGACGGACAGGGAAAGGCAACATTAAGCATGCTTATATAATTGTTTGGGGTATCTATTTGTTGGTAAAGGTCGACAGATCTCTTTGGCCCATTTTATGTTTGTAAATTATCAGCATGCAAAGCACTTCCCATTAAACACTCGCAACACATTATGAAGTATTCAAAGAATCAGCAGGGTTTTTGTACTGTATTTTATAGAGACTTTAAATATACACAGACCTGCCATTCCTGCAAGATACTGTATATCTGATTTTGCAAATTGGGCTATTTTTTTTAAACATTGTTTGCAATAAATAGAAATTTGAAGAACACATTAAAAAGTATTAAAGGTAAAGAATAATTGCAAATATTTCACCCAGCACAATATTTAGTGTATAAAGAGCATTACTTATGGGTTTGATTGAATAGTTGTGTTTAGAACACGATTATGTAGTTTTAAAATGAATTTTAATTAAAAAACAACAATGTTTATTTTACATTTGAGTCATGTAAAATAAACATATTTAACAATTATACAACTGCACAATTTGATTTGATGATTTTTTATAATATATTTTAATGATTTATCCCATAATTTCTATTGTCTATATATCTAAAAACACTAATTGATAAGCACAGAAACAAATTATTAAATAACATTTAAGAGTAAATACCAAACAAGCATTTATGATCATAAATACTGTAATATTTAAATATTATCTGATACACTGCATATTGTTGTTATAGCTCCCTTTATTAATTGGGGAAAAATGTAAAATATCTATAGTCCAGTTTGTCCGCCACCAAATCCAATAAAAAAAAAACCCCAGCCTGATAAAAAAAAAACAAATAGCTGGCTTTCTATGGAAAATAAAGTCTCAGTACCTCACAAAGTAATTGTCCAATCAAATCTCCCTGGTTTAACCAGAGTTAAGTAAAAATCGACTGAGAGGAGAAGAAAGAAAGAAAACCTTTGGAGTAGCAGATAGAGTGTGGAGGTAAAGGGCTGGCAGCAGTAGTTTCATTGGTGACTGCAGAGAGAATGTGGTTAAACATTTACGATGGCGTTTCTGAGCCTGGGCTGGAATGAGAACAGGGCTGAGAGAAACAACGCCACTTCCAGCCTGTGTTTGCCCAGGCCAGGCTTCGGCTGTTTGCTCAGAGTTAAACGCTGCAGCCTGGTCACCAGATGTGTCAGTCAGTCAGATGACTTTCCGGACACTGCCAGTGCCCACTTTCTTCCGTAACACCTCCACCAGCCGCTCCAACCTGAGAAAGGAAAATCAGAGAGAGGGAAGGCAGAAATAAGTGACTGTGTAAATGAAAGAAGAGCAAGACAAACGCAGGCCAGCTCTTAGCTGTTTTCTCCTCACACAAGGGCGCTCTTGGAGGAACGGAAAGATACAGAGAGTGGATGTAGACACTTCTTAAAGAGGGTGAGACATCCATGCTGGTGTCAATGCCCAAATCCTCCAAATATCCGCCTGACTTTACTCCAGCAAACAGAAGCCTGTGTGTGGCGTCATGTGATTGGTCGGGGTGAGTAAACCTGTGCTTATGAGGGCGATGATCCCACAGACTCTGTGGAAATGGAGGGAGATCTAGAAGGGTGAAGGGATTCTTCAGGAACAAATGAATAATGGGGAATGAAAGCAGACCTGCTTCTCTCCATCCAAACAAATGCTGGTTCCGCTCCAAAAAATACACTCTTCAGAAATTTTGACATTACTTCAAATTTTGTTATACTATGCAATCAATAAATGAATAAATAAATATATAATAAAAGTGATAATAATATGACAAAATAGATCAAATCAGGCCTCTTAATTTATCTTACTACAATTGAAACTCACTTAAATTTACATTACTTAAAAATATGAATATGAATTAGAGCAAATATATCTCATTTATTTTTTAAATATTCAAGCTATATGAAATATTTCTTTTTATCAAATTATAATTTATAAATAAATTTTGTGTGTATATTCCAAACAAATTTGAGATTTGCTTATACATTTTATTTAAATGTAATGCATTATGTCTGTTATGTGTATATATAAAAATGAATACCGCCATATAGACATAAAAAAAACCTAATAAAATGACAAAAAAGCCCACAACAAAACTTCTCTCTCTCTCTCTCTCTCTCTCTCTCTCTCTCTCTCTCTATGTACTGTACAGCAAAGTTGCCTGGTGATGTATATATATATAAAACATGCATCTTAAAACAAACAGAAATTAAAATGCATTTTATTTAATGTATAAGCAAAGCTCAAATTTGTTTGGGTTACAATTTCTCAATTAAAGGTGACGACAAACAAAAAAAAAACAATGAAAAGAAAACTGCATAAATTTCAATAATTTATTTTAGACAATGCATAAAATAAATTACAAGATTTTTACACTTTATGAAGAAAACATTGTGCCTCTCAAGGCTTTAGCCATTAGTACAATGCTAGGTTGGTGTGATTGCTTATAAGATCCAAGTCTCTATAATTCTTCAGTACTTACTCAGTGATCTGAAAATCAGCCTTGTAAGTTAAGTATTTAATAAATTAATTTATTACATAAAATAAATGCATGCATGACAAATGTAGAAGGTTGTAGAGAGCTCAGGATTGTTAAATCCAAGCTTTTTCAAATAAAAAGAGCCGATAACATTGAGTTCAAGCGGTCTTAGAACAACAAAGCAAGCCCAGCTCTATCAGAGCCTTCATAGCAATCCTGATAAGACGTGCTTAGCATAGCCAGTGCTAGTATTGTCTACTGAGGTTTCTCAGTCTTATCAAGTGAGCATATGGGAGTGGTCTGACCCAAGCTTTGCTCCCGCCGAAGTCTCCACCTGTTTTCCCATACAGGGAGATTGAAGAGCAGCCGCAGGACCATATGCATTTCTCAGAGGCACTCTGTGGCCGAGAGAAATGCATCACTTTGGAGCAAAAGGGGGGAAGACGAGGGGGATGGCATGGTTCAAAACAGCAGACTAATATTTATAAAAGGTCACTGTTGCTAAATGAACAGGCCACGCACATGAGCATATATACATATACAAGCAAACAGCCTTCATATCACACGCGCAATCCACTTCCACCCAAAACACACAAACATGCAGACAGACACCACAAGACTGTCTGTCTCCTCCATAAACATGCACGGAAACACCTTTGCCCATTGTGTGCAAATTTTTAGCGTTTTAAATATATTCATTAGCCTCCCTGTCATGTTTGCACAATTAACAGGTCTGCCTTTCCGTGGCAGGATCTCCAAGGTGTGCCTGTGGGCTGGGGAGGATTTGATGAACACTGTTTGCAGAGAGTGGCCGTAAACCCAAACATACACGCCAGGGAAGAGCCGGCGAAAGCGCAAATCCCGATTAAGAATTCACGGAGTCGCAAAACCAACAATTCCAGCTCAAATAACACAGAGTAAACAGCAGTCGTGCATAAATTCTAAACAACAGCACGTTTTATGTATGGCACGACAACATATCCATGTTTCAATGCAAAAGAAGATCCTGTTCATAATCTATAATTATGCCACGACGACGTCTGACAAAAATGCTTGCATGAAATGCTATATGATCATGCTGATAACTCGGGCCGCTGTAGAGGGATTTTTAGTGGTACACAAGATGCAGAATGGCACAAAAGCAGGCCTGTGAGGCAGCAGCATGATGGGACCAGTGTTATTTTAGTACCAGTGTTATCATTTGTATTAATAGTATAAATTTGTTATTATTATTATTATTTTAAAAAAATATTTATATTATATAAATATAAAAAAAATATATATTTTATTTATATATATTTTTATTTATAAATTCTTTATATATATATATATATATATATACTGTATATGTCTATATAGTATTATTAATTTTATTTCAGTTGCAGTTTTAGTTATTTTAGTACATCAAGTTAAACTACATGAGAAGTGAGAAATGTTCCCTTGGCAACTAGCTGAAATAAAATAAGTAAATTTGTAATCAATATAATAAAATTATAAAATAAAATAAATATTATTTTATTTCTTTTAAAGTGTATTTTATTTCAAGTAACATTTTTTTTAATGGATTTTAGTTTTAGTAAATATCCCTGTAGTTAGTAATAACCCCGGAGGGGACGTACCAGCCGCAGCCCATTTGTGGCCCATCGAGCCAATGAAAAGGTCCTTTGTGCGCTTCTCACAGCCAAATTTGATTCAGCAGGTCATTAGACATTCAGCTCAGCTCCTCCATCAATGGGTCTGGAGGAACGGCACTCAGGTGCCACATTCTGGGCCGGCGCTGGGCTTCCTCCTCCTCGGTTCGCCCCGCTGTGGGAGCCTGGAGGCCGATCGCATCACCCCTGCATTCTTCTCACCGCCATGCGACGAGGCCCACGTCAGAGCGGCTTCCCACAGGCCGCCCGGAGCCCGGTGAGTGCAGGACATCCATCTGAATGTCAGCTAGCGGTCAGGTGCGACCGGCGCAGATACCGCAGACGATCACAGTTGTACACACACATAGATGTGCTCTTGCTCTTGTTATCCTGCTCTATGGAACAAAATAGCTGTCACCTCAACTCTAACCATCACTACATGAGGGCTCGCTGCAAGAAAATGTGTTGTTTCAAATTCTGTCACATTTACTCACCCCATAAACTCGAAATAGATTTTTTTTCCCTGGAACACAAAAGGAGGACTTTTTAATCATCTTAATAATTCACATTATTTTCCATATAACAGGTTATTCACTCTCAAAAAAAATGTGCATAAATTGTTCATTTAGAGTTACAACAGTTCGTCACTGTGGCAACACCACTGAATGGACAACTTTGTACTTTATTTACCCCTAAAAGGTGCATAGTAGTACCTTAAGGGTACATATTACCACTCTATGGTACAACTATGCAATTTTTGGGGGTAGGTGCAAAGTTGTCAGCTAAATGGTACTGTCCCAGCGCGAAAATGCACATTTGTTCTGAGCAGAGTTTTTTAAAAACATTGATACTTTAAATAAAATAAAATAGTTTAAAACCTTAATCTTATTTTACTTCAACTAGTTGCCATTTACTTTTAGTTTAACTTTATGTGTTAAAACAACTAAAAATGAAAATGAAATAAAAATGAACTATTACAACTAGACATGAAAATATAAATGACAATAACACAACAAAATTGCAAAAAAAACAAAAACTTAAACTGAAATATAAAAATAAAAACTAATTCAAAATATAAATAAATAAATGTTATCTCAATGATATTAAAATAACACTTCTGTGAGTGTATAGTAATCACAGTTGTCAAAATAAAAAACACATTTAAATAAATAAATAAATAAAAATCAGAAAGCAACAGAAAAGTAGTCCATGTGACTCGTGTGCTTATTCCCTGAAAACAGTCATGGTCACTATGAACTCGAAATGTACAAAAACAGAACTCGTCATCATATATAAATGTATTCTATATAAACAGATTTGAAATTCTGTTAGGGGGAACAAATAATGACTGAATTTTGTATTTCGGGTGAAGTACACCTTTAAATGCACAGTTCACCCAAAAATGAACATTTTGTCATCCTTTACTCACCCTCATGTCATTCCAAATCTGTTTGACTTTCTTTGTTCTGTTGAACACAAAAGATGATGTTTTGATTTTTTTCCCCCATGCCCCAATGAAAATCAGTGAGTTTCAACATTCTTCAAAATATCTTCTTTTGTGTTCCACAGAACAAAGAAAGTCATGAGTGTGAATAAATGATGTTCATTTTTGGGTGAACTATTCCTTTAAGAAATGATTTGGCACTAATTCAGGGCCTAAAGTAATAAATAACATGCTGATTCTCAGAATACAGGGAACTTGTTAACTTCCAGTAATACTACACAGAGACTCTTCCAGTAGTCCTGTGCAGGGCTGAAATGAGCAGTTCGACTCTATGCCACAGACAGTAGTGACTCACATGACTGAACCTTGCACTGTGGACGCCGCTCGGTCAGACCAGCGTTCACAAACAAGCTGCTCTAATACACACTTGCTGTCTATGTGAGGACAGCAGCACCGGTCAAAGCAAAATGCATTGTGGGATATGGAGTTTCATGTCATGCATTTTGGGATTGAAACCCTTCAGAGCGGCATGTGTAAACAGTGCACTGAAGTTCTGTCATTCTGATGGGGTGGTGGGGGGTTCTCTCTGTGTTTTGAGCACCCCCTCAGCTCAGCATCTCCACCCCCTTTGGTTAATTCATCATGTAAATAGATCAGCAGGCCGGCCTGTGTTTGCTTTGCGTGGGGAGCCCCCCATGTGAGCAAGACAAGAGGGAGAGAGAGGGAACATCTAGTTTTTATAAATGTACAGAACAGCTCAGGAGGCCAAGGTTAGAGAAACTGAGAGAACACGCTTTAAAAATGTCCAACAAGTGTAAGAATATCTCCAAACAGTAATCAACAGGCTTCTTTAATGGAACACAAAAGTGGAATTTTCGGAGAATGTTCATGCTTTTTTCAATGCAATAAAAGTGAATAGGGATCGACACTGTCAAATTCCAAAAATGACCAAAAAGCATCATAAAAGGAGTTCAAATGAGTCACATGGATTTGGGATTATGGACTACTTTTGTAATGCTTTTATGGTACTTTTTTGAAGCTTGACAGCATCTATCCTCATTCATTGTCATGGAATGAAAAAGAGCAGCATGAACATTCTGCATAACATCTCTTTTTCTGTTTCACAGAAGTCATAGACGTTTGGAACTAATGAAGGGTAAATGAGAAAATGAAGAGTAAATGAGGACAAAACTGTCATTCTTGAGTGAATTAACTTTCCTAAGAACCCAAATCAAAATAAATATTAAAAAGAAAACAAAAATTCAGCAGCCATTACTCCTGTTTTCAGTGTCACATGATCCTTCATAAATCATTCTAATATGCTGATTTGCTGCTCAAGAAACATTTATTATTATTATCAATGCTAAAAACAATTGTGCTAATTAATATTTTTGTGAAAACCAAATATATATATATATAGAGAGAGAGAGAGACTGGTAGTTTAACATGATTTTGGTATATTAATTAAACTTTCCCATGTAAAAACAGACAGTGCACGTGTCTGTACTCACCTCTGCACTTTCTCATTGGCCTCCCTCTCTCTCTCCTGGGTCAGACATAGTTGGGTCTGAGCGCTCTGAAATTCTGCTGTCAGCTGCTGCAGACGGTTCAGCAGGGGCTGAATCTGGCTCTGGCTCTGGTTTGAGGTGGCAGGAACGTCCAGACTGGTCTCACCAGCCTGATGCTGCAACACACTGAAAACACAAAAACAGTTTTGATACCTAAGTGCAGTGGTGGAAAGAGTACTGAAAAAATATACTCCAGTAAAAGTACCATTACCTTCCAAAAAATGTAGTGTGAGTAGAGTAAAAGTACTTGTCCAAAAAACTACTTGAGTAAGAGTAAAAGAGTAGCCTATTTAAAAGTACTCATGAGTATTGAGTAGTGAGTACTGAGCTGTGGATTCTACCCCCTCATAATAAACGCTGTACACCGCAATTATACATTTTAAAAACGTTGTACATTCTGTAATTCACATTATCTTATTTGTCATAAAGAATAAAGAATATCTATCATCCAGCAGTTTTAATTTTGACTGCCAACTCTTTAAAATACATCAAAACAGCACAGAAACAGTATTCAGTTGAAGAAAAGATGTAAGTTATTCTCAGTACAATCATCCCCATCTAAATCATAAAGTTTGAAAAAATTGATTTAAAATCATGTCAGGCCACTGAGACAACATGCTGTTGTTGCACATAAAATATTAATGTTTAGAACAGTGCAAATACAAACACCATTAGAAACTCATTACTGTAACGTGAGTATTTGTAATTCGCTACTTCACACCCCTGCCTAAGTGTAATTAGTGATAGAGTGATTCATGAATTGGCCATGTTCACTTGGCTGCTTATAAGAAGTGCTACCAAATCTTATGTCAGTATTCAAAAATTTTAACTACTACTTGTATATTTTTTAATAATTGCATTTTGAAATGTTTTCGTTGCTTCAATAAAATATAAAATGGATAATTTTATAATACTTTTAACCATTAAGAGTTTACCATATTTAAGTTCATTCAGCAGAATTCTGCATATTTTCCACTTTATTCAATATAAAATAATGTGAAAAAGGGCACAGATTATGCATGGGACAAGTTTTGCATTTAAAAAAACAACAAACAGTAATTTCAACTATAACATCTACATTTTATCAACAAAACTTACACTCTAAAAAGTGGTTAACTGCATTTGCTAACTTTTAGAGCTATATCTACCTGATTTAACCCATAAAAAGTAGTTTTATTTTGGTAAAAATGTATGTATTCAGGTTGATTCAGCGATATTAACTTGACCAGTTTTAGATGCTTAGGTTACCATGTTTTCAGTCTGTTCTAACAAATGCAGTAGGCAACATAGATTATATGATTGCTTATGAATTTAAAAAAATATTAACTAATATGAACTGTACTGAATTTGTAAGTATGTCAATTTCCAAGTAATATCATCGACATATCTTTGTTATTCATGACACACTTAAACAGATCCTCAGGAAAGACAATCATCAAAATTACAAGAACAATATAACGGCTGACTGATGGTGTAGCATCAGGCTCATGTTTCATAAAAGCCAATGGTCACATTTCTTACACAGTGAGAGCATGCTTGCAGTTTACCTGGAGGTGGGAATCATAACTCTATATCAACAGACACATCTAATATTCAAAACGGAATGTCAGTACAAGAAACAATATCTGGGGCTAATAATTCCTCAGAATGTCAGCGGAATACATTAGTGCTCTCATGGCGCTGCATCCAACTCGAGGTGAAATTCAGACAGGTGTTTTTCAACAAGGCGTGAGATAACGAGGGTCAAAATAAAAACGGAAGGGTAGGGGCGACGATTAGAGATACATATCAGTCTAACCAACTGTACAACTACCGCCAAAAGCTCCTATGAAGTAATCGTCATAAATTGAAATGCCGCTAACTGTCACAAAAAAAAAACAAATCAACTTCTTGAGAAAACAGACGGTTTAAACGATAAACATTTCTAATGAAAACATGATGCAGTTTTCCTGTGCAAAACAAAGCCACCCAAAATGCTGAAGTGTTGCCAAGGCATTCCTGTATTTGACATGGCATTTACAGTTCAGGTGATTGCGCCCATAAAATGCCTGTGCCAATGTGCAAAGATGGTTGTGTGCTTTCAGAGCTGCATGCAGCAGTAAGAGAGGGTGCGGCCATTTGTAACTTGAAATTGAGAGGCTTCCGGTGTCATTCACTTCCAGCTGATTGGCTATTAAAGGCACAATATGTAAGATTTTTTTATTAAAATATCCAAAAACCACTAGAACAGTGTTATATATTTTGCTGACTTGTGTACTTACATTATCCCAAATGTTTCGAAGAATGTTTAAATCCAGAGAAATAAGCAATTTTAACTAGTGACACGGACCGTGTCTATAGTGTCATTGTGTCGCCTGCCAATGACGTCATACACCCTCGATTTCCGGTTTTGTTTTGTAGAAAACATGGAAACACCAAAGACGCTTTAATATGTTGTGCGTTTTATTAGACAGGTGACGACAGCACAGAGTAGCATTTTAACAGAACTTTCAAACGTATCTAGTATGATAAAACAGCGCTGCTTTTTTTCCCCACATACGCACGACTGGAAGGAGCAGAAGCGGTCGACCGTGGCATAATAAAAGCTCCTCTGCTTTCGAGCTGCTTTACCCCACATACGCACGACCAGAAGGAGCCGAAGCGCTAAAGTGTGGCATAATAAAAGCTCCGCTGCTTTCGAGCCATGTGTCACTCTCGTTGCTCATTAGCAATTGCTTCAGCGGCCTCGTTTTGCTTCGACGGCTTTCCGCCTCACTCTGTTTCATATTACGATGTAGGGCTGCACGATAAATCGCATGCGATATTTAATGTGCATCTTGTCAGAAAGCCGGTTCTGTAATCAGCGGTAAATCTCCATCACCTGCGTGCTTTGATGTTAATAAATCTTTTAATACATTAGCTCATCCATGAACATGAATTCTGCCTGAGTCCCGTCGGATTGCTTCGGCTGTGGGGATGAAGACGACAACTCCCATGATTCCACACCCAGTCATATCTAAGTCCGCCCACCCCCTCACAGACACAACTGGTCTATCCTGGTCCCTACGTTATGAGGATGAATATAGTAGGATATATGACGTTCCTGTCCCGCTCAGAGGAATGGAGATGCTAGTATGCTGGAGTTCCATAAACAGGCATATAAACGCAACCCGTCTAGTACACAGTTCTCAGTTTAAATAGAAGCTATGATAGATGTGTGAAATTATATGTGATTATTCTAAACTCTTAAAAATAAAGGTTCAAAAGGGTTTGCAGCAATGGCATAAAAGAACCATTTTTGGTTCCACAAGGAACCTTTCAGTGAACTGTTTGTAAAAGAACCTTTTTTTTTTTAATTAGTGCAAAGAATATTTTAATAATCTGAATAACCTTTTTCCACTATAAAGAACCTTTTGTGCAATGGAAAGATTGGATGGATGTTAAAGGTTCTTCATGGAACCACAGTTATAATTAAGAACCATTATTTTTAAGAGCGTACATATAAGAATTAAAATTTACTGAAAAACTGACTAACCCTCAGGACATCCAAGATGTAGATGAGTTTTTCTCTTCGGAACAGATTTAGAGAAATTTTGCATTATATCACCAAAGGATCAGTGAATGGGCGCCGTCAGAATGAGAGTCCAAACAGCTGATAGAACATCACAATAATCCACAAGTAATCCACATGACTCCAGTCCATCATTTTGTGAAGTGAATAGCTGCATGTTTTTAAAGAAACAAATCCATAATTAAGGCGTTTTAACTTTACAGTTACTTTTGGCTTTTTGAGTCCATAATCCATAATAACACTTCCTCCAGTGAAAAAGTCCATCCCCTGTTGTCCTCTCACTTCAAAATCCACCAACATATTTGTTAAGAACTGTTTTGGACTCTTTTTGCTTGTAAAATATACTTGATCTGTGCATATTTCTCTCCTGATTCAGAAGAGACTACTTCTTCACTGGAGAAAATAATATTATGGATAGAGGACTCATATTTTATCCAGAAGCAATGGTTTGAAGTTAAAGTGGCCATATTATGCCATTTCGAATATTGCCTTTCATTCAGTGTGTAATGTAGCTGTATGTGAATACAAACAATCTGCAAAGTTGTACAGCCAAAAGTGCACAATAAATAGTTATTGTCTCCCAAATGAAAGAATCGACTCTGAAAAGCCTGAATGAGTAGTTAGTAATTCGAATCCCACTTCTGTGACGGCTACACATCACAGGGTAACATATTTGCATAATCCCCGCCTATGTTTTACGTTGGCCGGCCCCAAACAACTTCACCTGCCCTCAAACACGTCATTTTACTGACGACTGCTTCTCTAATCTCGGGGGGTACGCGGGATTCACAAAATGCTGGCTTTTGAAAGATGGCTCAGTACCCAGTTTATTTGGACCCGCTGGCTCCACTGACTCCCAACTTGTAAGTATGATAAATAATAGATGTTTATATTTTCTATCGAGCGTTCAAATCATGGAACTATGGCAATGGGCGTATCGTTTCTGACAAGCGCTGTACGCGGTAGACCAATCACAACAGACTGGGCCATCTGACCAATCAGAGCAAAGTAGGCTCACAGAACAGAGGGGTTTAGAGAGACTGAATCTTAGAACTGCTTTGAACGAATTGTTTGAGAATCGCTGGAAAATGAGGCGATATTAAATGCATACGTTTAGAAAATGAAAGCGTTTTTTGACCTTGCATGCATGTAAACCTATTGTAGGAGACTCCCAAAACAATATTAGGAACCTTAAAAATGGCATAATAGTGGCACTTTAAAAGACCTAATAATGAATTTATTTACTACAAACATGCAGCTTTTCACTTCACAAGACATTAATTGATGGACTGGAGTGGTGTGGATTACTTGTGGATTATTGTGATGTTTTTATCTTCTGTTTGTATTCTCATTCTGACGGCACACATTTACTGCAAAGGATCCAGTGGTGAGCAAATGGCGTAATGCTAAATTTCTCTAAATCTATTCTGATGAAGAAACAAACTCATCTACATCTTGGATGGCCTGTGGGAGAGTAAATTATCAGCAAATTTTCATTTTTGGGTGAACTATTCTTTTAAGTATGAGCAACAGTAACAGCGACCCACTAATAAAAGAAATACTAATTAACTCTAAA